ATGGACACCCTTGGCCTGGTCGCTACACAGATCCCCCTCCCACCAGAGTCCTGACACCTATGACAGGGGACACTGGGGACATCCTTGTCCTGGTCATCAGCTCCCAGGGACCCCCTGAGCCCCGACACCAGGGACATGTGCTAGTGGGAAGGTGGGCAGTTTGGCACCTCTGGGGATGTTTAAGGAAGGACATGGTGCTGTCCCCATGACCTCACCTTATTGAACTCAACAGGGCTGAAGATGTCAATGCGCTCAGAGAAAAGCTTCTGGATGTTGCTGAGCAGGTGGGTGTCCATGGGGGCACTGAGGACATGGACACAGGGACATCAGGGACTTGACAGACCCAGGGATGTGGGGACATGGACACAGGAACCTTTAGGGGCCATGGAGAGGGTCAGAAGATGCAAGGATGCTTTTGGGGACAGAAAAGCAGGGGAATGTCAGGATGGTCACAGGACATGGAGGGATGAGACAACTGAGTCACAAGGGCCATAGGGATCACCAGGGGATTCTGGGACAGTTGTAAGGAACACAGGGATTGCTGGGACAAATGGGGATCATCATTAGGGAAGTCTGGGGATATGGGGAGAGCTAAGTGCTGTCAAGATAGTGGGAGGGTACTGGAACAGTCTGGGGACATAAAGCAGGTGACAGGGAAGATGCAGTGGATACTCGAGGAGTGTCAGGGAGCCCAGGGGTGCTGGACAGCCCAGGCAGTGACACAGGGTGTGCCAGGGTGACCCAGAGGTGGCGGGGCTGACCTGGGGGTGTAGCTGGGGGCATAGCGGCCAGGTGCCCGCGAGCTGCTGTAGACGGAGAATGCACGTCGGCTGGAATCACTGCTCTGTGCCCGCCTCACCCCCTCCTCGAAGAGCTGCCCCACCTGTGGGTGGCACCACACCCTCAGCACCCAAAACCCCCTCCTGGGACCTCCCAAACCACCCAGCATCCCTCAAAGTCTTTGTGACCCTCACACACCCTTCCAGGATCCCCAAAGGGCCACACAGGGATCTTGGGAAAACCCCTTGGACCCCCCCTCCAGGGGTGTCCAACCCCCTCGGCACTGGTGTCAGCCTGACCTGGACATCGATGGCGGTGATGTCCTCCACCACGCGCTTCATGACGGCGCGCACGTTGCGGGGCTCGACGGTGCCCAGCCAGTCGCGCGTCTCGACGCTCTTGCGCAGCATCTGCGCCACGGCCGCGCCCTGCACCTGCACGTAGTGGTCCAGCAGCCGCTGCGCCGCCGCCCGCGCCTCCGCACACAGCGCCGGCCCCGGCGTCACCGCCGGCCCCGAGTCCTGGGGGACACACACAGGATCAGTGCTCCTCTGCAGCACTGTCACCACTGGGAATATGAGGGGCATGGGGACATGTGGAGATGCCTCCCCTTGCTGTGACTCTACATCTGATGTGCTGGGGGTATAGCGACTTTGGGGACAGGTGGGACACTCTGCCTGAAGCAGCATCGCTGCCCCTCTTACATGTCCTTGGGGTTTCAGGGGCTCTTGAGGTCATGCTGAGCCCCCCTGAAGATCCCTCGGGGACATTCAGGATCTCCTTAGGGCCATTTGGGGGTTCACCTGGGGTGGGAACTGTTCATCGGTGAGGGTGAGGATGTAGCTTATGGTGGAGTTCTCATAGTCCAGGCAGAGACGGGCGAGGAGCAGCAGCAGGGCCGGAGGGGCAGCGGGAGCTCCTCGCTCAGCTGGGCCATCAGCGAAGCCACGGGCGGTGCGGCACAGCCAGCGCACGAAGGCCACCACCAGTCCCTCACGCACTGCTGTCACACAGAACTCCCCCTGTGCCACAAATGGGGGGAGGGTCACACCCCAAAACCCCCCAAACTTCCCTGTACGGGCTCCAAACCGCCCTGTGTGACCCCCAACCTACCCTGTGCCACCCATAGATTGCTCCAGTAACCCCCAAAATGCCTCCAGGCCCCCTCAGCCTGTCCAGTGCCCCACCCCACGGCGCCTCACCTTGAAGTAGGGCAGGCTGGCGAAGGCGACGTCCCTGGCAGTGAAGAGCTGCACGTAGGCCAGCACGGCCTTGAGCTGGCCCAGCACAGAGGCGGCCAGCGTGGCCAGCAGGTCGGGGAGGCCGGGCCCCTCCTTACCGGGGGGCCGAGGAGCAGCCAGCGCCTGGCGCACGTCACCCAGGCAGCCCAGGAAGAAGGTCTGCAGGGCGCGCAGGTAGCGGTCGACACGCTCGCGGGCGGCACGGGCCATCAGCGCGGCGGCAGCGTCGGTGCCCGCGGGCAGCAGCTCGAGCAGCGAGCGCAGCCGACGGTGGAAGCGGTCGAGCGCCCGCACCAGCAGGGACGTGTCGCCCAGGCCGCGCTCCAGCGCCAGCCGCCGCTCCAGCAGCGCAAAGTAGCGGGTGGCCAGCGCGGAGGCGAAGGGCTCCAGGCGCCCCGTGTCCTCGCCAAACAGCGCGCGGTACGAGCCGGCCAGCTGGCACAGCGTGCCCACAAAGGCCGAGCTGCCGCGGTCTACAAAGTCCAGGATGTCGGAGGCGGGCGGCGGCGGCGTGGTGGCCGTGCCCGAGGGATCGGCTGCGGGCAGCTCGGCCTCCAGCGCCGCCAGCTCGGCCTCGAGGCGTGTGCCCGCCTGGCTCAGGAACTCCTCGCTCAGCTCCTCAGCCGGCTCCTCCAGCTGCAGCAGCATCTCCACGCACTCGGTGAGTTCCTTGGGATCCAGCGTCTCCTCCCTGGTGGTTGGGATGGCCCGGGGTTACCAGTGGCATGGCAGAAATCAGGGAATAAGCAATAGAAGTTAGGACTCCAGAGGGAACACCCCCAAAGCCATCAGCGGGCTCCAGAGTGAACGCACCGGAGGCGTGTGCGGAGGCGCTGGGCCAGGTCAGCCATGATGGCGTGGCTCTCGTCCTCGATGGCGCGGAAGGAGGGCAGGTGGCGGTAGTGGCGCAGCACGGCGCGGGCGCGGGCGTGGCAGCGCAGGGCACGGGCGGGCTCCGTCCCCGCCCAGCACCGCAGCCGCCCCGGCACCTCCACCAGCGCCTGCAGCTTCCGCAGCAGAGCCTGCACCCCTGCAGGGACACAAGGTCAGGGGTGGGGGAAAAGGGTGGGGACACAAATGGAGCAGGATGAGACAGGGGGGGTGGGATCATCCGCTGGATCTGCCCCCCATGGGGAACACCCACCCCTAGATCTGCCCTTTCCCCCCACACGATTCATCCCAATTAATCCCCCTGGATCTGCCCCCTGGCTGGCCCCGCTCCGTACCGGCCAGCTGGGCGCCGCGGCGGTGCCGGTCCTGCAGCGCGGCGCTGACGCGGGCGCTCGAGGCGCTGATGGCCGCCATGTTGGCCGCCAGATCATCCATCTCTGCCTCCATGTGCCGGAAATCCACCTTCATCTTCCGGATGGTGTCTGGGGAACACAAGTCAAGGGCTGAGTCCCTCGGCTGCCCGGGACCCCCCCGGCCCGCCCAGGAATAACACAGCACAACCATAACCCCCCAGAGAAGGCTGCTTACTGGAGTGGCTGTCACTGGTCTCCAGAGTGAACCACCACGTTCCCCAGGGCAGTTTCCCAGTGAGTGCTGCCAGAGTGAACACCCCCAAACTCCCGTTTCCCAGAGCTGCCATCAGCAGGCTCCAGAGGGAACATCTCACCGGTGGCAGAGATGAACTTGTTGTAGTTCTCGTAGAGCAGGGTCTGCATGTCACTGTCCAGGGCGCGGATCTCCCGGCCCAGCGCAGCCTCGCGGGCCAGGAGCTGCCCCAGGGGGCACTCGCTGCGCACCTGAGGGGATAACAGATGCACATCTGCCCCTGGTTCCCTCCAGGGTCCCCTCTGGAGCCCCCTAAACGAGATCATCCACTGCCCTCTGCAGTCAGTCTGGGACCCTCCGCTGCCCTGCAGCTTATCTGTCCTCCCTGGATTCCTGCCGGGATATGGAAGTGTTTCCCAGGAGGGATCCTGCCCACCAGGGATCCCCCCCGCGCAGTGCTAACTGCCCCCAGTCCAGCTGCTCCAGAACACCTCAGTACCATTCCCACACGGAATCAGTCTCCATAGGAAGCACATACATCCATCAGGTCCCCGAAGAGGCCCTTTCTGGGATCCCCTCAGGACAGTGGGGGCCCTGCGGCCCGCCCCCGCCAGGGTCGGGGCCACCCACCGAGATCCCTCGACACGTTCCCCCACGGGGCCCATCGGAGTCCCGGAGCCCTCGCCAAGGCGGGGGTGCCCGCGGGAGAGATCTCCTTGGTCACCTTGGTCATGAACGCCTCCGGGTCGAAGTGGGGCCCGTTGATGTCGGTGGGGTCCGGGGCCGCCTCGGCCGCCTCGGCAGTCGACGGGCCATAGTAGCGCTGGAGAGGCCCGTGGGGACGCCGCCACCCGCTGCCCCCCGTGCTTCCGCCGGCGGCCTCGGGGCTGCCTGCGGACCCGCTCCCGGCCCCGCTCCCCGCCGTCACCGCCGCCATCGCGCCGCCGCTTCCGCCCCGGCAGTCACTTCCTGACCTCTACATCACTTCCGGCGAGACGGCCGGTTGCCATGGCAACATGGGAAGCCGCACGGACATGGTGGGGCCCAGTTACCGGGGCCTGGGGCGGCGACGACGGGGACGGAGCCGCCGAGGCCCGTGTCCTGCTGCGCCCCGGGCACAAGGACTCCCGTGAGGACGCAGACATGGGTGGAGACACCGACCCTCGAGGGGTGACCGGCCGGTGGCACCCCCAACCCTGCCCCCGTGTCTCCCACTGTCCCTTCTCCCCAGTGTCCACCTGTCCCCAGGCCTCCCGAGTGTCCCTGTGAGTCCCCGTCGTCCCCGTGAGTCCCCACAGCCCCGGTGCATCCCCATGCTCATCTCCCCATGACACCGGGTGGGGTCCTGAGGACCCCCACCCCACCCGAGGGTCCTCCTCCAGCCCTGGGCTGGCTCTGGATGATGCTGGAATTGGGTTGTGAGGCCACAGGTACAACCAGGTGATCGACCTTGCACCTCGCACAAGGAACAAACATTCGGGCTAAAAGGTCTAAAATCAGCTTTATTTACAGCAGGAAAGGCAAAATAAACCCCACCAGGGTGAGGGCTGGGCTGCTCCAGGGGCCTTTTGTCGGGAGTCACCTGCTCCGGGAATCACAGGCCACTGATTCTTCCCAAGGGAAAGAGCCCAGAGCTGCCACGTTGCACCAGGAAAGCAGGAAGAGCCAGAGGAAGTTCCTGCTGGCTCCCTTCTCCTTGCCCTCCCTGCACCACTTTTTCCCACATGTGGAAAAGAACACACCTAATCCAGCCAGTGTGTGTTTGGTGAGCAGTTTGGTACATGGGACAACATTCCCTTCATAGCTGCAGACCCGAGTTAGCCCAAGGGCAAAGGAATTCCGGGTGGGAACAGGGTGAAGGCAAAGGAACACCCAGCCATCCATGAGGAGGGTTTGCTGGGGAATTTAAATCAGAGGAGGAGGAATAGCTGTCACAGAAGAGAAATGCAAATAAGCAAAGACACCCCCCCAAGGCAAGGCAGGGGTTCCTTTTGTACCTTCTAAATTCATAAACAAATCGGCAAATCCCTCCTTGATTCCCCCCGACTCCTGACAGTGCTGCAGGGGGAATTCCACTCCACCTCAACCTCAGCTTCATTGGCACAATATCTCCCCAGAGTGCTCTAAAAACAGGGTGCCACAGTAAGCATGATTAACTGCCACCAGATTTCTTTACCCTGATTTAGTAACGTAATTTGCACATGTGTGGGAAAGTTCTGGAAGGGTCCACTCAAGTGCAAACCCATGTGGTTATGGACTGTGGCCCTCCCCACAGGGTAAAGCCCAGTTTGCCCACAAGGATGATAAAGACAACCAAGGATTTAATCAGAGTCCTGCTCCCCTGCATCTTTTCCCTGTCACAGTCTGAGTATATCCAGGCCCAGATCCGTTGCTAATTCCACCCGAAAGCAGCACAGGTTTCCTTTCAGCCCAGGAATATGGGCCACAAGTCCCAGGGAAATGGAGAGCGGCCACACGGAATGTAAGTCACACATTGGTACTCCCAAACCCCATAAATCAGCATCCTAAATCCTACAGCTCGCAAAGCTCAGCTGGGTTATGCAGGATCCACAAGTCTCAGGATTTGTCAGTTCCTGGTTTTCAGTAAGGGAGGTGATGTGGAAGTGGCCCTTAGAAACAGCCCACGGGATGTGGACAAGGCAAGAGGTCACAGCCTGAGCCATGACCCCAAAATCATGTTAGGCATGAAAATCCCTTTGGAACCAAACTTGTTTTGGAAGAGCTGTCTGGGCCCAGCCGGAGCGATGACGAGGAGCTGGAGGGAGGAAAGGTCACTGGGAAGGTGGAGGTGTGTCTGGAGGCTCCTCTGGAAAACGTGTGGACAGGTCTGTGGATGGTGGGGCTGGCCTGTGACACCTGCCCTGCTCAGGGCCCTGTGACACCTCCCAGCCCGGGCTCAGCTCCCTGCCCGGGACACCAGGTAGTAGAGGATGAAGAAGATGAGGATGAGCGCCACGGACACGGCAAGGAGCAGCCGGCGGTTGTCCCGGCCGGAGCGCGCCATGCCGGAGAAGCGCTTCACGCTGCCCGTCAGCAGCCCCGTCACGCTCAGGAAATCCGAGTCCTGGCGGGAAAAGACACGCTGGAGGCATTGCAGAATCATGGAATATCCTGAATTGGAGGGACTCAGAAGGATGAGCCAGTCCAAATCCAGGCCCTGTACAGGACACCCCAACAATCCCGGCGCTGATTTAGGGATTCTTCCTTAAGGGCTTTTGCCATCCCACCTCTCATCCCAATTCCCTGATTTGAACAGAAAGCCCTGTGTCCCATTTCCCAGGTCCCTACCATGCCATCCAGGTAGCGGTTCTGCTCCTCAGCATCCTTGTCAATATCCAGAGCCAGCTGCAGGGCAAGGCAGGAAACGGACATTAATGATCTTTTAATATCCAGAGAACCTCTAAAATCTGAAATGCAAATTATTGAAGAAGCTGCTGCTTTCCCAGCTCCAACAGACACACAGGGGCTTGTCTGGTGCAGGAAAAAAGAAGTTGATTTGCATTTCCCTGTCAGGCAGGTGAACCTTTCCAGCTCTGAAAATAAAGCCTGACTGTCTAAATCTGCCAGGTGGAGAGGGGAGTTTAAACCCTGGGACACAATGGCAGGAATTCAGTCTGCCCTTTTACACGGTGAGTCATTGACTTCTTTCATAGTTTGCATGAAATTTTTAATGATAATTTAAAGCTTAAAGCTCTAAATCAAAGTGTTTGATGTTAATGGGAGCAAACCAGCTTTAAGAACAGTTACATAGAGACACAGGTATTTTCCAAAATTAATCTACCTGCCTTTTTTTTCATTAATTTTTCCCCCAAGGAGCTGAGCTTAGCAACACCTCTGTGTTCAGGTCGGACAGGGCTTGGAGCAACCTGGTCTAGTGGAAGGTGTCCCTGCCCATGGGAAGGAGTGGGAGTGGATGAGCCTTAAGGTCCTTTCCAACCCAAACCTTTCCATGGTTCCGTGGATTCACAGATAATCTGAGCCTGTTCTTCACCTCAATACCTGATGTGACCTCGGCACTCACCGACTTCAGCCTGGTGACCTTGCTGGCCAGGCTGTCGGCCATCCGCTTGTTCTCCACATCCAGCAGGTCCTCCATGGAGCTCGGACTCTGCCCTGGGGAGAAGAACGAGGAGCACACATCATCCCTGCCCTGCCATGGCACAGCTCTGTTCCCGTCACAGCCCCTCCTCTCATGGAACCCTTCGAAAATGTGACCAAAACACCCCAGACTTCCCCAAAACTGGCCAGGGGAAGAACCCAGACTTGTACCCTGAATTGCCACCACAGCCCAGCAGCAGCTGTGGGGGTTCCACGGCCGGTGACATCCAGGGATGAGATTTGGGTGAAACCCGGCAAATCCGTGGCCCTTTGCCCCTCGGCTGTGTTGGGGTCTCTCGGCATTGCCCCCCATTGTGGGGCAGCTGGGGGTCCGGGGGGGTGGGATTAGGAGTTCCGGGGCAATTAGGGGCTATGGGGGCAGCTGGGGGCTCAAAGGGGTACTTAGGATATATGGGGGGCGCTTAGAGGTTCAAGGGGACGATTAGGGGTTTGGAGGGGGGCAGCCGAGGATCCCAAAAAGGGCCCAGGTGAGCAATTAGGGCTTATGGGGGGGGGCTATTCCCGGGCTATAGGAGGAAAATCGGGGCACTGCAAGAGGCCCCGTGGGGTTCAGCGGGATCGGGAGCTCCTCCTCCCTCTGGGCCGCTCCAGCCCCTTCTGCCCCCCAAACCTCTCCCTGTCGCTGTCCCTTGTCCCCTCACCTCGGCCCCGCTCCGCCATGGCTGCCCCGGCCCGTCCCGCCCCGCCGGGCGGAGCCGCCACGAAATGTCCGCCCGCCC